CGTGCCAACATACATTCTGAGTCACCCAAGCAGATTTAATGCCATCGTCACAATGACTTTCTCTTTGCCTTTTCTTCTGAAAATTGTTAAAGGGAAGATTCCAACCTACCTAGGAAATGATTTTAATCGGTTTAGTTCCGGAAATAACTATGGAAATTCAGATTTTTCCATTCTGCTGCTTCTGAACATTATATTGTAACGAATGGCTGATGAAGCCACCCCTCTCTTTCTCCCCAGCCCGTCGAGAGAAATGACATGATTGTCAGCCGTTCCGAATCCCACATGGAAAGGTCTGGGTGCATAAGCATATGAAAAGCCAACAAAAATGAAGCTTTTGAAAAATAAGAAAAACTGCAAAATTGTGCCTCACCCTTCACATACCATCCAGATAAGCATGTCGGGGTCCTGCCCCGTGGCCACTGACCTCAGAGCTGGAGAAGCACAATTCTGGGAAGCCCAGACCAAGGTCGTGTGTCCCGGGCCCCACAGCAACAGTCAGGTGATTCGCAGTCTTCGGACAGACCTGGGAAGCATGAGGCACACTGAGGCGGGATGTATCTCCGCGCTTACGACATAACCAAACTGCACGCTCCTGAGCTGAGCACTGGGCAACACGGAAATGAATCATGAAAACAAAGAGCTTAGAAAATTGGTACGACATTTGTGTGGCCCTGTGCAGGTTTCAAAGCACGCCACTCTTATCAATTCATTCAACTACATTTACTCAGACGTGTGCTCCTTGGTCTCTACACCTAGGCTTTAATGAAGGTGGAGAAGTAATTTTAAGGGCGAGGAAACCGGGGTTCACAGAAGAAATGATGCTACCATCACGGAGGTAAGGAGAAGCAGACTCGAATCTGTCACTCCGGCCTCATGGAGCCTGTCCCTGGCTCTGTCTGTAACCATGGTCTTTCTGGGACCTTTGAAACAAGACATTTTAAATATTAAATTGAAATTTAAAGCCTCCCAGGTATGCCTAAAATGTCTACTAACATTCAGTGTGTGTGCACCTATTTCGCAAGCACCAAACTCCTGGGGTTGAACACATTCAGGCAACAGGAAAATATTGGCGTGCATCCCGCATGGGCATCGACTGTGCGTGTTGCCCTCGCCTGTCAGCATTTTGCAGAGTTCAGGGGCTCTAAGGACCCCCTTGGATGCTCTTCCCAGGTGCTCTTGGTACGCCCAGTCCTGGAATTGCCAAAGCCCCGCCCCCAAACCCCGGGGCACTGAATAGAGGCCAGAAGTCTTGTGTCCGGATGGCTGGCTTTGTCCTAGGCTAGGTCTCTCCATCCCAACTCCTGACGTCTGGGACTCGGTCATTCTTTGTCGCTGGGCTGCCCTGTGCACCATGGGATGTTCAGCAGCTGGCAGTGGCCCACTAGGTGCCAGTAGCACTCCCTGCCCAACTTGTGACAACCAAAATGTTTCCAGACATTGGCATATGTCTCCTGGGGCAAAAATCGCCCCAGTTAGAACCCCTGTCTGAGGCAGATGTGCTTCCTCTTCTGGGTCACTGCCCACGGGCAGATATTGTCTCGCCCCATTTCTCTGGAATGCACTGTTGCTTCTGCAGAAAAGTGCAGACTGTGCAGACTGTGCCCGGGGGGTGCGGGCCAGGACGGCCGCTGTCCTCAGAGCACGCACTGTGAGTGCCCCTGGCGCCGTGACACCTGCTTTACAGGGATTGTGTAATTGGATCGTCATAATAACCCTATGAATCAAGTGCTACCATCCTCCAACTTTGCAAAACAAGAGGAAGCTGAGGTTTAGCGAAGCTGAAACCTTGCCACCTTCCCAGGACAGGGTGCAGTGACGGCTCTTTGGGCTACACACTCGGCAAAGGCCCAAGACTTGGGGAAGTGGACCTCAGCCCTGTGGCCCAGACTCTCACTGGGATCGTCCTAAACGTGAACGTGGAAACCGTGTCCGTGAGTGTATGTTGGTCACACGGATGTTAGTGAGTCGGGTGTGTGCGCGTGTCTGTCTGTGAGCGCATAAGAACCGGCGTGAGGTTAGCAAGCTCCACTGGAGGAGTTCACAGGAGGGTCGGGCTGGCCTCGGCTGTCCAAAAAGCAAACGAATCACTGCAAATCCCAACTGTGCACAACTGATTTAATCCCTATCATATTATTCCTCATTGAATGTCATTGGTGTCAAGATCGGGGGAGCCCAGCAGGCACCGCATAATACGCGCCCCCAGAGAGCTTTTAAAGGTGCTTTTTTGGGGAAATCTGAGACTGCAGAGGAAGAGAGAAGTGTTCTATCATGATGGGTAGGTCTTTTAAAGCCTTCAGCCCATCCAAAACCATCATCCCTGAAGGACTGAATCTCAATGGAGTGTGTCCATGCAGAGGCGTCCCTGCAGCTCGCGAGCGAAACCCGTGCCTCTAGGTGGCAACTCTGGGAGCCCGTGCTCCTCATCAGCCACCCCACGCGGTGCCGCCTGACAGCTCCTCGCGTTCCCCTGAGCTCTGAGCTTAGCTTAGATGGGACGTCTCCCAGACTCATTATTTATAGCCTCGGAAAAGAACCCCAATCAGGGAGAATTTCCATATTTCTAATAAAATAGGCCATGCCCCGGAGCTGCTGCCTCCAGGAGAGACCCCCAGAAGTACCCACTGCAGGGAATTTCAGACTTCTAGCCGCTCTGCCAGATCTGAACACGAAGGTCCCCGGGTCCCATCCCAGGTTGCTGTGAGTCTCCTAGAAGGACCAAAAGCCATTGACCAGCGAATAGATTTTGCGCCCGGAGGATTTTACACCTGGCATTTTCGATGGCGTTGTATTTCTTCTTCACTTGCGGGGAACACAGCGTATGATCAAAGTCAGTGGCTCACGTGTTGAACCAGATGGAAAGCATTTAATCCCGACTCACCGACCACGGGCTGCCTCGGGCCGCTGCCCACCACGTCTCTGGCATTTCACCACATCACAAGGAAAAGAGTGTCGGAGGGGAGGGAGTGGAGAGGAACAGTTTTCCCCCCTCTCTGGGGCCGGGGGGAGGCTCCAGGAAGGGCCATGGAGGAAGCAAAAGCTGCTTTTCCCCTGACTCTGAGGCCCTAACCTACACCCAGGGCTGCGAACATCCCTCCTGGGGGGCAAAGGCCATGGCACTAGCAGTTTCCTCACCATGTCAGGAGGCTGGTGTCTTTGCAGATCTGTCCAGAGAAAAGAAAGCCGAAAGAATGAGCCTGGAATGGTAGATTTCCAGGCCCTCCGGGCCCAGGATTGAGGAGGGCCGGGGGTCTTCTGCCCTTCCCTTCTCTCCCAAGGCCCCCCTGGACCTGAACCTTGCAGGAGTCGCCTGCCTCTGCCACATCCACGTCCACAGGGTGGGATGAATTCCTTTCCTGTACCCTGGGTACAAGAGACCTGGGGGTGTCTGAGGGGTCTGGGGCAACAGAGCCACTGTGCCCTGGCCCTGTGGGGACACAGAAAAGCCCCCAAAGCAAAGGTGCCACCTGGTGAGTTCAGCTCCAGTTCAGCGTTGCCCGTGCCCCGGCGTGGGAAGAAGCAGCTGTGGGGCCTGAGGCTGCAGAGCAGCAGGAAGAACATCCCAGGCCCAGCCAGGCAAGAAACAGCACGAGCCGCCGGAACGGGGTGACACAGGACACCTGCGTGAGGACCAGGCCGGCAGTGGACATCTCAGCTGCCAGTGTGGACAGACGGCCATCAAGTGCTGCCCCCCGGACTGTGGACTCCCCAGAGCTTACCCGTAATCTAGGGCAAGGGGGGTCTCTGAACTGCCAGAGATGGGGCCTCAAAATAGAAATTAAGCTCAATTGTTCTTGACTGTCGTGCCTGTGGCACAGCTGAGCTCAGGGACTGCGATTTATGTCCCCACCTCCCCTCCCAACCGTTGAGTTTACCACCTGTAGAGCATGTTTCTGTCTGAACTTGGACCCCGGAAGGTTCGGAGCAGACATGTGATCCATTTTTACTGTCAAGGAACACACACTTGGGCCAGGCTTTTCCCAACTTCGTGTTTCCATCTACTTATTTCCCCCTCACCTTGGTATCTTGGCCTGTTGCTATCTGATTATTGTTATCTAACCAGAACCCAGCATTTGACACGAGACCAGGTGCGTACACACCCGAGGACATACGCGTGTACCAAGCAGACATTTCAAGTAAGTTATGACGCTGGTTTCAAAGCTCCAGGCCATGAGCCCTTTGCAGGAAACAGGAGCCTCCCGTGGCAGGCTCGGTCTGTGCGCCCCTGGGGGCTGTTGCAGTGAGCCCGTGGGCGCGTCCACACGCACAGGGCGCTTTCCTACCTGGTAGCAGCCCCCGAGCTCACAGCCAGACTGCAGCCCCTGACGTGGGTCTACCATCGTACTGGCAAACAGGTGTCCGTGCACAGCGGTCTCCTGGGAGATGGAGGTGGCGAGGGCGGAGCCTGCCCAGACGGCGGCCTGTTGAGGTCTCCGTGGTTCTTGCAGCCCCACATAGAGCTGGTGAGGGCACGGCAAGCACCGGCCACTCTGAGAGCGCGCTTTCACACTGCCAGCAACGGCACGCTCCAGCCAGGAACTCACTCGCCGTGTGGCCTCAACAGAGTCATGGGCTGGCATGATTGACACAGAAAGTTCAAGTAGGAAGCACTGCTCTGGGAGGTGTTCACCTTAGCACAGAAGGCTTAGGGGGCTGTGACATGTGGCCCTGGAAGCACACGGGTGGCACAGATGAGGTCATGACTCCTGGACCCCGAACGCATCCCGGGCAGACGCAGGCGGCCCCCTTCCTGCAGCAGCTCCTCGGCGGCCATCTAGCTGCACCCTCGGCCAGCTGCCACCAGCCCCGTGACTGCCTGAACATTGTTTAAAAAAGCAAAACACGCCTTTTTATATCGTTTCATCCAAGTTAACCCCTTGGGTTTTGCTTTATGGCAGCATTCCTTTTCTAAACACATTCACACAGCGGGCCTGTGTGCCGTACACACCCATTTATCATTGTCCTATGTGCCACCTAAGTGCCAAAACTGAAGCTCAAATGCATTTTTAGGAAACAAAAATCTTTATTAAAAAACAATAACTTACACATTGAGAGAGCTCTCTGAAATACAACTGTTCATTCTGTGCACAGATTTGCAGCCCGGAACAGTTTCTTGTTGCTTTTTTTTATTTTTTAATGTAACTTTATAATACTATGCATGTCACAAACTGCATTACAGAGCAGTTTTTGTTCCGTATCCTGTGCCGGTACAAAACACCACACAGATATAAAACTATGGGAATAAAACATTTCAGCCAACAGTGGCATATATTTATATATTTATATATATTTATATATATATAATTTCAAAACAGCTAACAATTAATGTCATCCTTAGTCAAAACTGAAGCCAAACTAATCTTCAAACTACAACATTCTGAATAGATGTCAGCACTATGCCTTCCAGACAATATTTAAAATATATTTAACTTTCAAATACATTTATAAAGTACACCAATAGTGAGAAAATAAAGTCTTAAAATTTAAATACAAATCACCATATAAAACAAATCAGGGAACACAGAAAGTCCTATCTTACAGAAGTCCAGGCAAGCCTGCCCTGAAGCCGGCTTGGACACACCGCAGCGCTGCACAACACAGCTCTGCCCGTCACACGACCGTCAGGACACACAGCCAAGTGACAGCCGCGTCGTCACAAGAAAGAGAAAAGATGCGCAACGCCGCATGCTCCCCTCTTCACGCTACTCAAGCGTCAAGACCCGAAGCGACTTTGCTTTACTCTAGAAAACCACGCGGCCCGATGCCCTGTTTGAAACCAGCACACGTGTCCCAGAGCCTCTGCAGGGAGGGTCATTTGGTGCTTTGCTCCAAAGCAGAGTACTCTGTTTCTGAGACTCTGGAGGCATTGATGAGCTTGGTGAGACCCGTTTTGGCCGAGTACTTAAAGATGAAGGCCTTCATCAGCTCGTACCTGTAGTTGCGATTGATGAAGCTGTAGAGCACGGGGTTGACGCAGCAGTGCACCAGGGACAGGCACTGCGTGACGTGCAGGGCCGTGAAGAGGGCGTGCTCCAGCTGGCAGGTGAAGGGGATGTAGTGCAGGATGGAGAAGATGTCCAGCAGCACCGCTACGTGGTAGGGCAGCCAGCAGACCAGGAAGACCACCACGTAGGAGAAGATGATCTTCCGGCTGCTGTGCTTCTCCTGGTCGCCGGAAGCCGAGATGGCTCTGGCGAGCAGGAAGTAGAAGACGGCGATGATGGAGAACGGAACGGCAAAGCCCAAGACGACGGAGACCAGCTCCATGCCGATCAGCCACTCCTTGATGCTGTGCTCAGGGTAGAAGGATCGGCAGTAGGTCTCGTTGTTGGAAGCAGACGTGACGGTCTTCAGGTAGTAGGTGTCGGGCAGGGACACGCAGAAGGCCAGCAGCCACACCAGCACGCAGACGACGCGGCGCGCGATCTTCTTCCTGCTGCTCGAGGTGCTGGAGAAGTAGGTGATGGAGAGGTAGCGGTCCACGCTCATGCAGGTGAGGAAGAAGATGCTACCGAAGAGGTTGATGGAGAAGATGAGGTGCGTGACCTTGCACGTGAGCTCGCCCATGGGCCACTGGTTGTGCTGCACCAGGCTGACCACCCAGACCGGGATGGTGATGACGACCCACAGGTCTGCGATGGCCAGGTTCAGGATGTAGCAGTGCGTGTCGTAGCCCGTGGTCTTGGCCTGGATGTTCACCCAGACCACCACGGAGTTGGCGATCATGCCGATCACGAAGATGAAGATGTAGATGAAGGAGAGCGTGTACAGCAGGACGCTTTTGTTGGGCATGTTGGGGCACAGCACTGTGTCCACGACAATGCAGTCGCTGCTGTTGCAAGGCCAGGCGATGTCGGAGAAGTTCCCCGGCTCCGAGTAGTCAAAGAGATGCAGATCCATGGTTTCGAGGGGAGCGATCGAACGACCTATGGGAAAACCAAACAAACAAAAAAGACGGGAGAGAAAAATCACTTCATTAGAAAAAACTCAAGCTTAGGCAGAATGCTTTTCCAGTGCCCCAATATGCTCAGCTGTTTCACTTTAGCTCGGCAATGTTTTTGCAAAGAAAGGAGAAAACAACCATCACAGAATTCTCCAGAACAAAATAAAACATACCCAAAATCTAAATCCACATGGGGCTCCAAGAGAAAAACAGTGTTTGCCTTCTGTGCGTTTTCGTGGCTGTGTTCTCATGACATCGCCAGCCCGCCTGTGCCCGGGTGTGAAGTCAACACAGTGCAGGGGCCAAAGAAACATCAGGCGGCTGAGCTGTGGCCATAGCAAGGCCGATGGTCGCTCTCTCGGCAGGGGGCTGAGGAGCCACTTTATCTATGTCCCCACAGAATGGCAGGGTGGATCTGTTCCTGGCACTGTGGTATTACAAGTGTTCTGCTGTGGTGTCTTCATGAAAGCATTTCAAATCCTCTTTCAAATTTGCATTTGGAATGTGACTCGGTGCTTTTTACTTTTCTGCTAAATTCACGTGTGAACCTGAGCCTTAGGCCGCCTTCACCTGGCAGTGGTGAAGACCTGTGGAAACACAGTGAGCGTGTGTGGAGTGCACTGTGGCTGGACTGCACCCCAAACCTGCAGACTCGGGGCTCACCACGCAGTTTTCGACCCAGGGCAACCAACCAGCCGTCTCAAGCGCTGAGCCATCGCCTGGTTTTGCACTCCTTTATTTGTTCGACTGCTTCAAGAGCAACTTGTGCCGAGACCCAAAGCACAAAAATCAACACCTGCTGCACTTCTGGAGGGCCGATGATTCTCTCAACTGTTTTCCCTTTTGACCTGACGTGAGGCCAACGCTCCAACTGTCACCATTCGACACCCAGGGAGAAGCCAGCCACAAGTTAGCCACGGACCTGGAAGTGATTTCTCCACAGACTGACCGACCACGAGAGCTACCGGGACTGTCTTCTACTGTCCGTCTGGCTGCGGTCCTGGGTCAGCAGGTAACCCTGCCCGAGCCCCACTGTGCCATTATGGGGGAGTGTGAAATGAAAAGACCAGGCCCCGGGGGCTGCTGGGAGTGATACAGTTCAGTGGCTGTTCCTCCTTCCCCCTCACCTGTCACAGGTAAGGACTGACCTGGAGTGGAACGTACTTGCCCAGTTCAGTTAAAGGGGACTCCAGGTTACACTGAGAGCTTCCTGGAGGATCAAGGACAGCGGGCAGTGGGTTGGTGCCCAGGCAGCCATGCCAGCAGTGTGAGAGCCCCAGCTGGGAAAGCACCTGCCGGAGCAGGTGCTCCTGGTTGGGCTTCGGGCCCCTCTATCTGTTAGTGTTTAACCTGAGAGTAGTCAGCGACCCTGCCTGCGTCCACCCCCCTCGTCACAGACACCCTGGGGTAAGGCTAACACAGACCCGCAGCAGACGCCCAATAAAACCTCGCCCTTCTCCCTCCCTGGCCGAGCCACGAACCCGGGGACTCTCCAGCCCGAGGGTAGCAGTTTTTCCCCTTTAGTGAAAAGCGGAACCTCACTTCACTCTTTCCTACGTTGGAAACTGGCGCCTACTGGCTGAGTAATAAATATTCCCGGTGCAGGGGGTTCACGAGCTCACCCGAAGACTGAGCGGCTCAATGAGTTTCTCCTTTGGCACAACATGAACAGAACCTCAGAAGTGAGAAACTCCCCCCACCCCAGGGTCACCTCCGCAGCCTCAGAACTCGCAGATGATGACCGACCCGGATCCCCGACTGCAGCTTCTGGGTAGTCCCCGCCCCACCGTGGGACTGAGCAGCTGTGGGTCCCTCCTGGTGACCTAGCCGGGCCTCGGCGTCCTCCCTTGATGGCCACAGTCCCTGCCGGCTCCGAAGGCCCACGGTGGGGGAGATACAGGCCACGCAGCCTGACCGTCCGCAGAGCCACCCCGCCAGGAGGGCTCAAGCCCTGTGACCACCAACTTGCTGCAAGGCCTGATACACCAGCACAGCACCCATGGAGATGAGCAACATCAAGTTTAGGACAAATAAACTCAAATTAGGAGACTTTGGATTGCCCGGTCCTAAGACACAGCTCTAAGGACTCCAAAAGGACTTGGGCCCAAAGGGCTGCGGAGGACGCCTGGGAGAGGCTGGGCCTCCCTGACCTGCCAGACCTGCCCCAGGGCGGACAGCCTGCCCCAGACTGTGCCTTGAAGCGACTACTGCCACCTCCCCTGGGCTGCTCAACCACCTGGTGCGGACCCTCCACTCTGCGTCCGGATTCTGGGAGAGCCAAGCAGCGGTTGCACCCTTGCTCTCCTGCATGGCCACAATGCAATGACCCTTTGTCCTTTCCCCATTCCTTAAAATGAAACACATTTGCACTGTGGCTTGGTTACAGAACTCTTTCACCCCATGACCGCTTCTGACCCCAGGCTCCCCCGGGGAGCAGGGGCGCTGGGGTGGAGGGCAAGCCACAGCCCCACAGCTCGGCCGGTGCCTGCCTTGGGCACCTTCCTCTGTCCCCACTGGCACAGCCACTGGCTTCGGCAAAAGCAGCCATAAACCCTGGGGTCTGGGGCCATTCACGGGGAAGGAAGGAAAGAAAGGAGCGACCCTCAGCCTTTGTCGCCTGAACCTGTGGCCCCAGCCCACCCCACCGCTCTCCTCACACCACAGAGACATTGCTCTGGCTCGGCCTCCCTTGCCCTCCAGCGCACAGACTTGCCAGGTGCTGGCCGGCGACAGGCCCACGTGGGGGGCAGGGTCACAAAACGAGAAGACACCTGGCTCTCGTGTTGCCAGCATGCCCTGCGGGGACCTCCCACTCTTCCCACAAAGCAGACTCTCACGCACACACGCCCTGGGCTGCCAGCCTCAGGTATTCTCAGCCCAGAGCAGTGGGGGGAGGTGGAAAGGGCTCAGGGACCCCCGGGGTTTCTGCCTCTGCCCCCTGGAAAAAGAAAATTTGATTTAGTGATGACTCGTCCTCTTAGTCAGTCCTGTGAGGGCACATTCCCTGCCCGTTCTGCAGGGGATTTCTGAGCTGGGCACACCTCCCTCCCTCGGCCAGCCTCTCCCTGCGCCTGCCAGAGCGGCACAGTGGGAAACTTCCAGCAGGGCCTCGCTGCCCCTGCCCAAAGGCTGGAAGACAGAGCAGAGGCTGGGGGGGCCGCACCGATCACCGATCACCAACCATCAACCACCAATCCGTGATCGTCAATCGCTGACCACTGGCCAGCCCAGGCTCGGACTGGCCAGGAGATGAAGCCAGAGGCCCACACCTTGACCACTCGCCTTCTGGGGGCCTGAATGGGCCTCTCTCCGCCCCCTGCAGAAGGCTCCGGCGGTCAGACGGAGGAAGGGGGCACAGAGAGGAGACTGCGCAGACCGCGCAGTCATCGATCCTCCGCAAACTTCAGTGGACAGCAAGAGAAAACAAAAAACAAGAAAACAAAAACGTCACACAATAGCTTAGCCTTTTGTCATTTCAGTATTTCCCATGCATTAGGTTTCAGAAACAAACAAGGAGTGTTTCCAGAAAAGAGATTATTATGTGACAAAGACAATCCCCTCATTGAAAACGGGGAGCTGCGTGCAATATGGAATGCGGTCTGCAGCAGAGGCCCTGGCTGCCCCGCCCGTGCGCAGGACGTCTGGGGAGGGCGGGGCCGCTTGCATTAAGGGCCACTCACTGGTGGTTGCGTTCACCATTGGAGCAAAGGACCTTCCTATGTTACCTGCCTAGATCTTAACAAGTGACGCTCTCAGAGTCCCCGCTATGAACAGAAGTATGGCAGGGCAAACTATGAAATATCTACGCAGGGCCCCTGGCTCCCCACGGTCTGGTGACGAGGCTCCCTGCAGAATCGGAGAGTGGAGAGAGGGAGGGAGGGGCTCTGACGAACTCCCGCAGTGCCCTGCACAGAAATCCCAGCCCCCTCGAGCAACAGCAGGGCTTACCTCGTCCGACACAGAAAGAGCTGACTGCGTCCGGCTGGCCCAGGTCCCTGTACCCAGACACAGTGCCTCGCAGCCAGTCCACAGGTCTGTCTGTGCTGGGAAGCGGGGACGGCCGGTAACCACGAGCCCTCACCCCACTCAGCCCAGTCACCTCTGCTGGAATCAACTTGCAATTCCATTCCCACTCGAGGTCAGGACTTGAGAGAAATTTCTGGGTGTTAATCAAATCTGCCCACTGCCAGCCTCTCTACAGGTCGGAGCCCACGCCAGGGCAGGCTGGGGGGTGAGACCCACTTCTGACACTCAGGTTTGAAGGCTTCTGCGTAAAGGTTTGAGACAGAATGAAACGGGGGCTCAGAACAAAAGATGTTCCCAGTTCTATGCGTTTAGAAGTTCACACATTTCTCTTCTTGAAATATTCACGTGTCCCCAAATGTATATACAAGATGTTTATTAACGCAGTATTTATTCACTGGCAGAAATTAGAGACAACACGCATGTCCACCGATGGAGGGCTGATTCCACACAGTGCGGTACGCCCAGTCCGCAGCTCCGCACGGCTGTAAGAGAGAGGGAAGCCCACCTTCGCAAACACGGAGCGTGCTGTTCAGTGAAAGGCAACGTGCAGACGCACACACACACACACACACGCACACACAGACGCACACACACGCACACACAGAGAGAGTGCAATCCCATCTGCGTAGAAAACAATTAGAAACGATGTGTATTTGTCTAGGTAAACATACGTCTGTAAAAGCACAGAGAAAGATCTTCAATAACACTCAGGGCCAGCAGAGTGGGATGAGGGGACAAAGGGAGAACTGTCGTTTTTACTCTACAAACTTCTGTATTATTTGACATTGGACATCAAGAATTCATAAATTTTAATAGAGGGAGGAATGGTCCACAAAACAACAAAGGTTCATGTATGTTCCGTTTTTCTAGACCACAGAGACTCAACTGAGAACAAAAAGCAGCAAACGTCAGTTTTCATGCCCTTTTTCCTAACAGTTACTGTTTTCTCTCGTTGTG